TGACATTTGATATAAATGACATCAATGCTCCTTTCCCCACTAAAAAATAAATAAATAAATAAAAACGGAAAGGTGTGTTTTTTTTCCCTTATAAGTTTGGTGCTAAGATTTAAGTTGCAGCAAAATCTGACCTGACCTGAGCTGATTCTCATCATTGATGTTTCTATCTCTCTCTCTCCCTTCCTCTCTGGCCCTAAACTATGTCCTGAGATGGTCAAAGGCAAGGACCGGCACCCCTGCCAGCCGGACTCTGTCTCGGGAGAGCTGCCAAAGCAGAATGAAGGCGCCAGCATCGGAGGGGTCGGAGGGTGAGGGCACAGTCGTCTAGGAGGGGGCATGAGTCTGCTGAACAGCTGGTTAAAAATGGGAAAGAGAGCCAGCTGTGGCTGTGCTGTGAGGGGAAGACGGGGACACGCTGGGGCTGTGGCACCCGTCGCCGTGTCTCCTGAAATCAGCTCAGCAGTTGCTGCAAAATGAGGTTTGCAACGTGGAACCGACTTTAGCCACAGCCATCCCTGGCGCGAGGGCTGTCTTCTGGGCTCCTGGTGCGTTTGTCCACGCCTCCTGGGTGGTCCCCAGGCATCCGCACTCATGGATCAGAGCTGTGATGGTCAGTGTTTCAAAATTGTGGTAAAATATACATGACGTAAAATGCAGTGTTTTGCCCTTTCTAGAGTACTGTTCTGTGCGTGAAGTGCAGTCACATTGCTGTGTGACCGTCACCACCACGGAGGGTCAGGCTGCACCGTCCCCAGTGGTTCAATCACTCAGCTGGAGGTAGCTGGGAAGGTCTTGTGTAGATGTGGTTAATTAACATCTACCACCTTTAAGTGAAAGCGACGAATCTAGGTTCTTCGGATGGGCCTCATTCAATCAGTCGAAAAGGTCTTAAGCCCGGCCGGTGTGGCTCAGTGATTGAGCGTCGACCTATGAATTAGGAGGTCATGGTTTGATTCCTGGTCAGGGTGCATGTCCGGGCTGCAGGCTCGATTTTCCAGTAGGGGGAGTGCAGGAAGCCACCGATCAATGATTCTCTCTCATCATTAATTGATGTTTCTCTCTCCCTCTCCCTTCCTTTCTTAAATCAATAAAAAAAATTTTTTTAAGAGAAAAAGGTCTTAAAATCAAAACCCAAGTTCTTCTGGGGAAGAAGAAATTCTGCCTCAAGACTGCAGCATGGACCCAGCCTGAGTTCCCGGCCCACTGGCCTGCCCTGCGAAGTGTGGACTTGGCACCCATCTGTCTCTGTCCTGTCTCTGTCATTGCTTATGTTTCCCCCTCACTGACAGTCTGCCTCTCCTATGGGGCTAAGGCTCTCTGAAGGCAGGAGCTGCCTTTTTTATGGTTGTGTTCAGTTAGCATAGCGCATAGCAGCTGCTTCTAAAAATGCAGCTACACCAGTATTTACACAGAAGTGGCTTCAGAGGCAGACTCGGGAGAGAGCTCTCCCACGTGCTGATGGCCTGGTGAGCGAGCCTTGATCATGTACATGGGTCATTTTGTTCCCCTTCTCCTTATGACCATCACCCACTCCTGCCTATTCCAGGTGGCTTTCCCCACTTGGGTGACAGGGATAATCTCTAGGACCCTCCTCTTGGTGGGTCCTGTGGCCGCCTGAGATGGCTGTTGCTTCCTCTGGAAAGCTCACCCTGACCTCGAGGGCCTGGTTAATGGCTCCCCTATAGGCTCCCACTGCACCCAGGACTTAGCTCTCTGTCAGACCCATCACATCCATTCAGCCATCCATCCAATCAATCCCTCCTCTGTGGAGTGTCAGAGATCTGGTGGAGAACAAAACAGTTGCTGTCCCCATGGAGCTTACCTCTTAGCAGGGAAGGCAGATAATAAGTATATTGCGCGTTAGGGAATAAACTTAAAACAGGGAAGGAGGATGTGAAATGTCATGGGAAGAAGTCCTTGTGTATCAGTTAGCTATTGCTGTGGTAATGCTGCATAACAAACACCCCGGACAGACACACAGGAGGGGGCTCAGAATCTAGCAGCATTTGGAGAATTCAACTTGATGAGATTGACCTGGCAGGAGTGTGGATAGACAGGAGAGGGGTGCAAGCACTGATCCCTGGGGCGCCCCAATTTTTTTTAAAATATATTTTATTGATTTTTCACAGAGAGGAAGGGAGAGAGATAGAGAGTTAGAATCATCGATGAGAGAGAAACATCGATCAGCTGCCTCTTGCACATCTCCTACTGGGGATATGCCCGCAACCCAGGTACATGCCCTTGACCAGAATCGAACCTGGGACCTTTCAGTCTGCAGGCCGACGCTCTATCCACTGAGCCAAACCGGTTTCGGCGGGGTGCCCCAATTTTGATGGCTGAGACTAGGAGAAGACCCTGAGGAGGGAGCTGAGGTGGGAGGAGGAGCAGGACACCGTGGGCCCTAGAAGCCTGGTGGAGATGGCACATTGAGAAGGGGGAGTGACCAGCTGGTCAGCTGCCCAGGGGCCAGACCAGGAGAGGCCTGAGAACAGACGCTGGACTTAGCAACATGGAGAGACGTTTGGATGGGGCCATGGGGGACCTGACTGGATGATGGCAAGTTTGCGGGGTAAAGCAGAAGTGTGGGTTGTCATTAGCAAGAGAGGAGGTGGGTGGGATTTGTGAGTGCACAGCGACCTTGCTTCTGGGCTTGGACGCAATCACCAGCGGCCCAGCTACGCCTCCTTCCATCATGTCTGGAGCAGCCTTATCTGGGCTTGTGTCTGGGAGGTTTCATCCAGGGAACCCACTGGGTCTGGCCACGAGGGCCAGGTTGGTTCCAGGCGCCAGGGCCCACTTGCGTTTCTTCTCCTCACGTGGGAGTCCCCAGACAGCTCCCAGCTCGAGCAGGTTGACACCGACTCCTCTGAGAATCACTGTCATCTCTGCAGCTGCTGTGGGTTCTGGCGATTTCTCAGCAGCTGGAACATAAGGGGGCCTGTCCTCAGCTCTAGCACTCACCTTCCCCACGGCTTTGAGAACAGCAACGGGGTCTCCCGGGAGTGATGGCTAATGTTACGTGCCACCTTGGCTGGGCCGTGGGGGCCACTTATGTGGTTGAACACGTCTAGATGCTGCCGTGTGAGGTGTGTATATGAGATTCACGTGTAAGTCAGTGACTCCAAGGAAAGCAGATTGCCGCCATAATCTGTATGATGGGTGGGCCTCATTCAGTCAGTGCAAGGCCAAGAACAAAGACTGAGTTTCTCAAAGAAGGTCAGATGACAGCTAGCTAGCTAGATGACAGATAAATAGGTGGATGGTAAATATGCAGATGATAGACAGATGGATAGACAAATGATAGATAGATAGATGAAAGATAGATGGATAAATAGCTAAATGATTGCCCTGGAAGGGGCTGGCAGGGCATGGCCGGCTTCTAGGACATGGTGGGTCGTGGTAGGGTTGGCAGTGGGCTCTCCAGACAGCCTGCCGACCTCACGGAGTCGGGTTAGCTGAATGCATTCCT